GGGGGTGGGGGGGCTTCCATTATCACCGAGATGCTAAAAGAAGGCCGCAGTCACAAAGGGTTAAAACCTGAGAGTGTTTTTTTTTCCTGGCATGCAGAGTTGCCTCTTTTTTTTCCTTCCTCTCCTCTCCCTCCTTTTTAAGACATGTGGAAAACAGCTCCAAACAGATTTCAGAGTGAGACAGGTGCCAGCTCTGCCATCTGCTTTCAGTTTTACCTCCCTCGCTGTCTGCTCCCATCCTCTCCTCCATCTCCACTCTCGGCACTTCATCCATCTCTCTCTCTCTTCTTTCCACCAGTCGGATCGCTTCGACAGCCTCCCCATCAGGAGCTGGCTTCATTTAGGTGCCTGGAAGGAATTAAAAGGGAGGCGACATCAAATCAAATGGACATTTAGGAACTTCAGGGATGACACCTCAAAAAAACGATGTGGGTTTATTATGTATTTATATTTTAATAATGCGCTCACAATCACTTGATTGTCTTTTAGGGTCCTTTAACAAATATATCCCTTTATATTTAAAATGCATTATTTCACAGCATTGTGAATTACTGACAGCTCAGACTAATAAAACTGGGATTATTTTGACCTRCTTTGCTTTTGTTACAGAAAAAGAAGAAAGAAAAGAAGAGTCAAAGACACACATTTAGCCTCGTTAGCAGCTCATTTGACTTTTAAAAGTTAATGGTCATTAGTGTCTGAAAATATGTACCTTGAATGTTCCTAAAAGTTCCTTACATTTTAATAAAATATAAAAGAAACAATGCAGCACTGTCTCCACTTGAGGTATTTTGGTGCACAGGCTTCCTGTTTGCATCCCAAAGTTTGCCTCTTAAAAAGATCATCCATCCATCCATCCATCCATCCATCCATCCATCCATCCTCTTTCCTTGTTTTTATGTGCAGCCTGTGCCTCCAGCAATTATCCTGTGCATCACTATTCATATTGTGTTTACATTACTTATTATTATTATTATTATGTAATCGATAATTTGATGAACACATGTGCAAACCAAAGACTGTAAGTCTGTCACCACGACTGAGAAAGATAACATAATTGTTAGTCAGATCATGATTCATCATCGTCAAACACCGAAGCAACATGGTGCTGGTGGATCCCATTTAACTTGCAGCCTGTTTGTTATTTGCCTCTCTGTGTTGTGGTGGAGCAGATTGCTATTAAGGTCTGAAAAAATGATTGAGAAACAAACTCTGCGTTACTCACAGATTTAGAAAATGAGCCCGCAGTGTAAAACAACCCGAGAACCGTTTCATTTTCTTGTCCTGTCTGCTCAACTCCATCATTAGCAGAGACGGGACACGATGCAGATTTGTTTGTAAATGACCCAAAACACCAAGTTATTACATGTGGAAATCTGGATTCAATTTGTGGCTCCCTTAAAAAAAAAAAAAAAAAAAAAAAAAAAAGGGGGGGGGGTGAAGAAAAAGAAGGCGTTTTACAGGAAATGACTTAATTTCAGCTTGTGAAAGCTGCTGCGATGGTTGAGATGTAAAGATAACAATCCCTGAAGGTGTGTGTTTTCTGTTTCACTGCTTTACGCGTTTTGGTGCTAAAGGCAGAGTGTGTGTTGCAGAGCTACAGATTAACAGCAGATTTAAAAGCACACAAGTGTCCTCTGGCACCCTCTACTGATTGGTTTGAGAACTACACTGAAAATCCTTCTGATTTATGAAATGGAAGCAGTTGTGTAGTGTTTTTTTTATTTTCAACACGTCCATAATATTTTAAAAATTATTGCATAAACTCAAAGATGTTTGAGATTCCAATTCTTAAAATTAAAAATTATATTTTTTTTCAGGTGTGTGCACTAGGGCTGCATAATTCATCAAAAATGCATCATCATCAWCATCATCGCGATAACAGCCTGTACAATAGGCATATCACACAAAACTGCTTCTTGTATTTGGCCAATTGGATCTCTTCCTATTCTTTATAAAATTCACGCTGGAATGGAAATTATGTATTAGTTGTTTTTTTTTCTTCCCCTCTGAATCCAGAGCAGACAGTATTTGTTCATAWATCACAAGTCAAATCRTCATCACAATATTAAGCACTGYTATGACACATTGCAGGTCCTGCAGCMCTGRTGKACACTTTTAAATATTTTARCAACAACTTTWTTTYCTATYATTTYACGGTTTATACATCAAAGCATATCCTCTTTTGTTTTCTCTGTTTAATTTCACTTTTCATTGAAAGGCTTTATCCAAACTCTCATGGACCTCCTTTGAATCTGAGCTCAGAAACTATTTTACGACACAGGAAGTGAAGGGTC